TTAATGATTCTCCTGGTTTCAGCTCCATTAAAAACAAACAGGCACATTTGCTTAGTCATCTTTTCCCCCTCCCCTCTCCCGCTGCACTCTGCACCCTGCTGATGTGCTGAAGCTGACTTAAGGAGCCAGTTTAGACCGGAGGTTTGTGTTTGCGATAACGCTCTGCTGTGCTGCGGGTTATTGAGTTATTGACCGAGTCTGCAGAAGAAACTCAGTTGTTGCTGGCCTTCCTCCAGTGGCACGGGTCAAAGATGAGGGTCAGTTACTGAAGCTTGTAGACAGCGTGTTTCTCTGTGCCATTTCAGCAGGCGGGGAAGCTTGCCAGCACCCTCGTAAGTCTGACCACACAGAGAAGCCCGGCCATCTTAGAAACTCCCACGGAAATGGCTGTCACTGGGAGGATGTTGATAAGATGGAGACGGAAGACGAGAGCTTGAAGTTGCTCCGCGTTTGACTGACAGGGTCCATGTGCTTGTGATGATCTATGTCAACTGTCCGCAGCTGTACTGCTTAAACAGAGTGGAATTCTTCTAAGTGAAGCACACTGAACTAGCTGTGTCTCATCTTTCTCTCTCTTCCCTCATCATCACCCCCACCCACCCACTTCATTATATATGTTAGTGAGATGGTGCTTTATTCTATTCTTTCTTCTTCTGCCTTTTTTCCTTCCGTTTGCCAGGATCTCTGGCTGACAGGGTCGTCAGATTTTCTCACTCTACCTCTCTCAGTGATAATCAATGCTCTCGTGCCTCTTGTGGCTTGTGTAATATTAGACATTAGAGCAGCCCTTTGAAGGGGGGGGTGCAGCAGGAAGGAATGAAGGGAGGAAAGGATGGATGATAGGTGGATTAGAAAGGGATGAATGAGGACATCCTGCTGTAATCTCTTTGCTTTTTCTGCCGCTATTGGAGCCCAGTTTCCTCTTTTTTTTCTTTTCCCTACCCGCGTCTCTCCGGCTCGCCTCTCGCTCTCCGTCAGTCAGGGCAATCAGTTTAATTTTAACTTGCGTAAGCCTCACTCTCTTCCTATGGCACCATACCAGCCAGTATTCTATACCTCAACACGCTTGGGAACGTGATGTACCCTGATTTCTGCACATACACACACACACACACACACACACACACACACACACACACACACACACAGACACACAGACACACACCACTGGGCAGACGGAGGGCTAAATCAGGGGTTCATATTACCACTCGGCTCTTAGTGCAGTGGGAGCAGGCATGAAGTAAAACAGTAAAGTCACTACAAATTGTTCCTCCTCTGCTGATTTCTAAACGTTACCATCCTCCCGTCTCTTGGATGCATTGCTTCGCCCGTGTCTGCTGTGCTCATGCACGTTTGATCGTCCATGACTGCTAGAAAGACATGATTCCAGTGGCAAAACTGGTTGGACAATTGGCTGAACTCGTTGCTGTAAATGTTTTTCATGCTCTTAAGTTCCTGGCACCTTCGTAATGATGATGACACTAATCCTGTTAGGCTGTTTTCGAGGGAGAGAGCTGCTTTTTTGTTTTGTTTTGTTAAATAATAACCTGCTAGCTGAAATGTAGTCCTTGCAATATAAGTGCTGTGGTTTAATTTATCTGCTTTTATGTTCTCTTCGTAACCCTGCATTATCACATCATCGGCAAAGCAGATCTGTTTTTATTACCTTTTTTAACTTTTTTTTTATTAGCCATATCTCTGCTGTTGGAATACCAATTTTTTTTTTTTTTTTTTTTTTTTTTTAAAGAAAAGAAGAAATGAGGAAATTAGAACTGGCACTGCACAATTTAGCCCAATTAGTGAACTTCTACTTGTGCATGTTTCCACTAATATTTCGGTGGTAGCACGAAGTGTCTTTGATGTCAGTTTAAAGGTAACAGCGGATTGGCCGGCTGTGGTTGATGGTCTAGACGGGATGTAGTAAACACATCACTTTATTAGCTCATCTGTCTCCATCCGTATCCTTTTGCTTGTCATAATCCCAGGTGTCTGTCTCTCTCTCTCTCTCTCTCCCTCTCTCTCTCTCTCTCTCTCTCTCTCTCTCTCTCTCTCTCTCTCTCTCTCTCTCTCCCCTCCCCCCCTCCCCCCTGTTAAATAGGATCCTATTTATGTAAGGCTGCAGCAATAAAACTTTGCAGGGTTCAGCTTACCTAAGAGGCTTTTATGGAGAGCTCAATCTTCCCTCTGCTTACTGTTTAGAAAGTGTTCATGGCTCGCTATCAATTATAGCGAATGCTGTAATCACATCAAGACGGACTGCTTGCGATATAAAACGAGAGATGGAAACAGTTTGTTGGCTTTGGCGAGTTTGAAATTTGGACTTTGGGTTAACGGTTTACAGCAAACAGGCTCTTCGTCTATATGTCGAAGTGCTCAAGTTTGATGTTTCTGGGTAATGTTACTATGATCGATTCACCTCTTTTCATACACACACACTCTCTCCTCTATATGTCACGTCATTTCCTGTTCTTGCTTTCACACAAATGTGGCTTCAGCTTAATTTTATTGTTAACGGTGCCAGTTTTGATTACATTTGTAAGTGTTGTGCTTGCCTCAGCTCTTTCTCTCCATTTTTCTCTGTGGTTTCTTCACTGGTTTTCAATAGTTGGAAGACCCGCAGAGTCTGCCTAGAGTGACTCGGGTGTGCAGAAGCTTCACTTTCATGTGTTTTGACCCAACTGTCAAACTCATTTCTACTGTCCAGAAAATATGACCCAAGGCATTGATCAGCTTGGAGCATTACGATTTTGAAGAATCAGTTTCCAGTTCTACTTTTTCTTCTAAAAGTCCTCTATGGTCTTGATAATATGTTGATTTTTCTTTCATTCATTCACTACATCTTGCTTCTGTGTGAGTGCAGGGCTATTCTTGCCCCATGTCTTCTCCTCGTCCCCCTCCTACTACCACTCATTCTAACCTGTTTGACTGGTTGGAAAAACTTGGCTTTCTGCATTTTGTGCACTTCATTTACTCCATGTCTGTTTTTTATTATTATTATTATTATTATTATTATTATCCCCTTCGTATTTATTTTATCTTTTGCAAGTAGATCACAGCCTTGTGTGAACTGACACCCGCCCTCATTTTGCGGTTTCTGCTTGTTGAATAGTCACGTTCCCTTTTTAACACCTCGGTGCCGGCGACAGCCCACGCTCTAGGCGTTGCTTTTTCGGGGTTACCTCTCCGTACATCTGTCCACGCCTTTCTACTGAACATCTTGGGGGAATTTCTTTAAATTTAGGAGAAACATGCACTTGGACTGAACAGTTTGGTTTTGTTTTTTTTGGGGGGGGGGGGGGGGGGGGTTGATCAGACAACATGGGGACAGAATTCACTTGTTAGTTATGCGAAATTTCCCATAAATTTCCGATGGGGTAAAATGGATATCTTATACCTAAAAGGTGGAGGCCCAGGAGGAGGCACAGTGGCGTATTTGATAGTCGTCGTCTTTGCGTAACAGTATTATTGGCACCTCCTGTATGAAAATGGCTTTTCATACCACATTTATTCGAGCACTGCAAGTCCTAAAACTTTACAGTTTAAATTAGGATCTCGTGTGTTAATAAATTTTCTTTATGAAAATCCAGACTGATGAGAGTTCAGTGTTCACTGCTTGTTGGTAAACAAACTGCAATTTTTCCTCAAACCTTGCCACCAAATGTAGGGCTTTGTGTGAGCAATCATCTCTCAATTTCTCACATTTTGAGCTTAGGCCAGGAAATTGACACGTTTTGACTCGGCTCTGTTCTCTGATTGGAGTGTAATCGGAGCGCTGCACCTTTCAGTGGCTACGCCAAATGCATTGTGGGTGTTCTCCAGACATGATCCTATCTATCCTTACCTCAGTCCGGTCCGCAGCAAATTGACAAATAATACCAGGATATCGCATTGCTTCTATCACTACTCCACAACACTTACAGCATAGCTTCCCCCCGCCACACACACACACACACTCACTCTCTCTCTCTCACTTCAGCGCTAATCGATTGAGGCCACTTGATGGTTCACACGGCCCCTGACACTCTGCGACTTTTATACTCCATGCGTGTATAAGCACGCGCCTACTTTTTAAGTGCGCGTGGAGAGGGAGGGTCTGCATCCATGTGCCTGCACGTGCGTGTATCAAGGAGAGGTGGTGTGTGACAAGCGAGTCCGTTGCTTTCTGAGACATCTACCTCTTTAATATTCTGCTCTTACCATCGCCTCCTCTGGCACACACTGTGAAATAAAGACAGAAAAGAGACAAGGAGAGAGAAAAATGAGAGCGACGTCTCAAAGGCTTTGTGCATCACAGAGGAAAGCGCGTACAATGTAGCAACAGAAGTGAGGGAAGGAGGAGTGAGGAGGAGACGAGGGTGGAAAAAAAATTATGAGACAGAAAGATGGGGAGATGAAGAAAGTTGTTGCCGGTTAGCATGTGATTGTTTTGGCACACTGTCCTTGTGTAGTTGGTTTTTATCAGCTGCCACTGACAGCAGAGGCTCTGCCTTATAGGCGCTTTTCTTTTCTTATTCAATAGCGCTTAACAGGAATGGAAAAAGAGGAACTACAACTACATGTGTGAAAACATCGTCAGCTCATGTAAATGCACACATTTAAATACACCCACACTATCGGTGAGAATGGGCAAGTCGGCCACTGAATGTGCGCTTGTTGCATATCAAAGCGATCATGATGGATTCGCTCCCGTTCACTGAACAAATACACACACACACGCACAGAGTAATCAATTCTTTGCTAGAGGGTAATTGTTTCAACGAAACCTCCCTACAGTGAGACAATGGCCAGTGGGCCACAGTAGTAAAAATGATAGAGTGGGTTTGCAGGTATGCAAAAGAGTCACATTCTGTTTTATTTTTAGTCAGCTGCAGACGGAGCTGCATTGGGGTTAAATGTTGTACTTCTTCCAACACACTGGCTTATGTTACTTGTAAATTCTGTGTTTATGTGCAAAGGATCCAAGGGTCTAACTTGTTGTTTTTCTTTCCCCTCCCAACAAGGCCTCGGCTCCAGGCCCAGAGGAAGTTTGCCCAGTCGCAGCCCAACTCGCCCAGCACTACGCCCATCAAAGTTGCTGACTCGGGCGGCCTGAACGCCGGCCTTTCCACGGTGCCATCCACGTCCCTCTCGTCCCTCTCCGCTTCATCCCCGTCCTCCTCCATCCAGGACCTCTCCAGGCGCAAGCCCAAGACGGAGGACTTTCTCACCTTCCTCTGCCTCAGAGGTAAGATGCAGCAGAGTGGAGCAGATGGAGACATAATTACATGCGTGCCTACAACCAGCGGCAGAGCGGGAAAGCATATTGTTTAACAAGAACGCTGCAGATATGATATTAAAGAGGTTTTTATTCAAGGGACCGGGGCTGAGGTCTAACGCTAGAAAGGGGATGTTGCATATTAATTATCCTAACACCAGGATATGCTTCCCTATTGTTTGGCTCTATGCACATAAAGATGCGTGCATAAGCAACTCCAGGGAGCTTAGAATAAGTTTTGTTAAGTCAGGTTTTGATCACCCTCCACCCACTCATAACACACACAGACAAAACCCTTCACACATGCTGCATCTAACTGCATACTTGCCCATGGCTAAGATTATCCTGCATTTCATCAGCTTACACATCTCCCCCTCCCACCGTTCAACAACTGTCTGTCTCTTTAACACCCTGCCTATCACCCTCTACTACAGCAGCTGTTTCGAACATGGAGTACTCACACAGCCTGCACTACAAACTCTGCACAGGTTCATTGACACTGTGTAGCACTTTTGATGTCAAATGAAGTGGAAAAGCCACAGCAGAGCAATTAGCAGTCAAATGAGTTACGCGTGTGTGCGCTGCTCCTCTTTGTCTCATACAGCAGCATTGTTTGTCTATTTGGGTTAAAAACTCAAAAGGATACCTGATAAACTGAGCGCAGTCACTCAAAGGAGCGCAGATATCCTCGACACTCAAGGTTGCTAAACAACTCTTGTTCTTTTTTTCCCTCTTGAGTTAATGAAGGGCTCATGTTACTTATGATCTATGCTCCGCTGGCCGGGATACAGAGGGGGTTAGTCCTCTGCCAGGACACTGCAAAAAGTTTTTTTTTTCTTGTTGCGCTAAAAGTATGAAGTGCTACTTATTTTATTACCTTAAAACATTTCCAAGGCCAAGGTTAAAAGACCCAGGACTATAAATTCTCTTTAAAAATCTGCAATCTTAGCTCGCAAAAACCTCTGTAGAATATGCAACAGTTTCAGGATTCAAGGCCGATACGATCTTGAATCGGTGAGAGACAATCATGGCTCAGTATAGAGACGGCTTGACAGTTTCTAGGTTTATCTGATGCATGTGCACTCTTTAATTTGCTGTTCCTGTTTACACTGTAAGGTATATGTTGAAACAGCTACGTCTACTACATGTCTTGTCTGAATGTGTTGTGATGTAACGATAACCCCCTTGCTCTCAATCATCCCTTCTTAAGAAAAATGAGAGGAGAGGGAGTGACACGTTCATCCCAAGGTCCAAACATTACATAGGACCGTTTATCTCAAACAACCTTGGTTGTGACTTCTATCCTTCGTGGAATATCTCACCCACCCTTTTTTCTTTAAAATGTCCTCGCAACCGAAGTTAATTCCTGTGAAAGACAGAAACACCTTGCTCTATAGATTAATTTGCCGTTATCGTTATTAACCTCTGCCCCTCCCACAAAAGTCCGCTCCACACTCGGGAGGGGGGAAAATTTAGATTAAAGTCTGTCGGGCGTAATGGCTATATGTTCCTGTTCTGAGGAGAATACTCCTATTATGGGATGTCATTTTAACCTTACAGGGCTCATTCAGAAACGTGTAATTGGAAGTTGCTAAAATGGACTCGAGCCTTCCGTGTGATGAGCCTTGATTTACATATATAGGCCATGATGTTACATAGGCTAATGATACAATGTCCCATATACTTTGTGGCTGAAATTAGACTAATCACTTGGTGCTAAGCTAACGCCGTGCCTTACACACGAGCAGTTGCAGGCTAATGAAGCGTGGGTGACTTGTTCTGACTCAGTTTTGCTGTTGTCTCTCTTTATAATTAAGGGCTGAATTAGTGTTTTGCGAGCAGATTTCAAGCGAGTGTTTAGCTGCACTCTGCTGCACTTTAATGCTAATTTTAGAGCTAGGCTGCTAAGCTAACGATTGAACAGTTTTCCACAGCCCCCCCAGTGCTGCCGCTCCCTGTTCTACCACTGTATTTATAGACACCAGTTTGGCTCTCTGTGCGTGTGTGCTCCATCCATGCTGTGAGGATGACATTTTCCTTTGCAGGGCTTCTTCTGCTCAGTTTTCCCCTTGGCCTCTCATGTGACCCATATGCAGGGACCCTTACCAAGAGAGGGACATGGGAGAATGTCAGCAGAGCCCTTGAGGTGGTGTGTGTGTGTGTGTGTGTGTGTGTGTGTGTGTGTGTGTGTGTGTGTGTGTGTGTGTGTGTGTGTGTGTGTGTGTGTGTGTAAATCCACACCAACCACTGATGTGTCCTGTCCTGCTTATCTCCTGTGTGCCCTCATACCATTTTCTGCGTGTGTGGGTGGGGGGTTATGTCTACGCACCAACTACCTGCACAAAGCATGCAGGGTATATAGGGAGACGCAGCCCATGAGGACATCTGTGTTAGCCTGGTTAATCTTTTCAAAGAGACTCCAGTCTTTGATATCTGAAAGCTCCAATCCCCTTTAAAATTCTGATACATGTCTCTGGTGATCTGACCACCACACACATTAGGCTCCTTCATGTCAGCTACCAAAAATGTCTCTGACAGAATCTCCAGCTGTGTAATCATAGCCCTGATTTCCCTTTCATTTTGATCAGATTTTTAGCTTTTTTTCTTTTTCTGTAAGCATTAAGTGACATTTCTGCCCAGAATATCTCATCAGTGGTGATTTCTGGGGTGTGACCCAGGTCAAACGTTCAAGGTGTAAGCATAAATTTGTATTCTCCCCCCCCCCCCCCCCCCTCTCCTCCTCCCCCTCCGTGTATCCACTGCAGTGTTGTTTGCTTATCTTATCTGGAAAACATTAAGCATCCACCCAATGGGTTCTATCCATCACTCATTCAGACAGCCACATAAAAGCAGTTAAAACATGAAAGATTTGAAGCGATAAAGTGAGCGACCCAAAAAAAAGAAAAAGAAATGTTGTGAAAGAAGCAGGACTCGTGTGTCAGTCTGTGTTGAGAAATTGCAGTTAACATGTTGTTGGTGCACCTTTTCATCCGATCCCAGCTTGTTTATTGACGCCATTTTGCTCTTGTGGGATTTGTTTTCCCTATGATAATGAATTGGCTGACTGCTGTGTGGTGGTGGTGTTGTTGTTGTTGTTGTATCTGAGGAAAAGCTATTTTTAATTCCTCCATGGGGGAGCAGGGGGTGCTGGATTATTCTGATGCAACGTGGGAGTAACTGGACAGAAAAGTAACAAGAAACAAAAAAACAGCAACAGAGATTTCTATCTACTATATAGAAGGATGCACATCATGTATGCTCACCACCCACACTGTCTTGGGTCTATGTTCAATGTGTGTTTATCCCACTGTTCAGCTTTTTCTCCTGCACACAAACACACAGACACACACCGTAGCAAACAAGCCAGAGTGCGCAGTCCTTGCCTGTGTTCTCAAAATGGTGTTTATGTGTGGTCCAGGCCTGTACTTGGGCTGTTTATATCCATGGAGAAAGCCATTTGGGTGGTAGCCAGACAGTCTGCCTCTGGCCTTGTCTGCCTGTTGTAACAGTGTAGTACTGCTGCATACAGGGTGGGGGCAATACTGATGAGAGCAGAGTGAAGGTGTTCATTTCAAATTGAGATGCTCAGTATTTAAGTTACCCCCACAGTCAAAGTCAAAATGATTTGACATGGTTTCGATTGCTTTTGTTTTCTAAAAAATCAACTGAGTAATGTTTGACTTGGTATCAGTGTATTCACCGTAATTGTTGGCACACACTGCATCATTTATAACCCAAGTGTTCCCCAGTCTTTACAATACACACAAAAGAAAAATGCACCCGAAACTGCACAAACACAAAATCCTCAATAACTGCAGACACTTGAAAATCAATTTTTAATCTTAATCCTGATTTTTGGCCTCCCACAGTTAAATGAACGCGATCGACCGATATTGGAAATGCGTGCTCCGACAAAAGAACACAAAGCAAACGTAAATCACCGCCTGACAGCACGGCCGCATGTGCCAATCACAGCTGTTCCCTGCACCGCGCAGCTTGAAGTTTCCTGGGCTAGTCCGGACCAGTAACACTACATTAACAGGCAGATATACAACCGATAACAGGCTGTCAAAACAAAAATCTAATGTCGCCAGTTGTTTGGAAATACTTGGGATTTAGGGCAAGAGATGTTAACTGTGAATAAATCACATGGAAAGAGTGCGGCTGAGTGAGTTGTGCGTGCGCCACAGAGCAACACAACTAACTTATTCAATTTCTCAAAACACACCACAAATGGCAGTAAAATGAATGCATGAAGGCCAAGAGAAACACACAGTGGTTGCTAGCGTGATTTGTCAAACGTCATCTTAGTCGTCCGTAGTCGTGCAGCGTATTCACGCCACTCACAAAGACACACTTATTCACCAACACAATCGCATTTGGTCAAAGAAAAGAGCCCATTAAACGAGGGGAGCGTCGAAGGCTCTGTGGCAATGGTCAACATGGTGGACAAAAGAGACGTTATCTCTGTGCACAGTTATTTTTCCAAAACTTGCGCTGTATGCAAAACATTACAGTGGAAAAAGGGAGCGATCTCACAGCTGTCAAGTACTCTGCTTCAGGTTTTAGTCACATCCATCGAGCAGGTACAAAGAAAGAATTATTTTGCTTCTGGGAGAGGCAGTCAGGCAAGGTAAACAAACACCTTATTTGTCAGCAGAGATGTTCTAATTAACAGGAGAATGTAGAAAAATGTGATGGCGTTCTGTTGATTTTAATTTGTGTTCAAGTTTTGAAATGTATGTTTTTCCTGTAACAGACACCCTGATTTAAGTAAAAAGGGGGTTTCTAATTTTATTGTGCAGCATTTGTACATTAGCAAGAATGTTACTGAAAGCAGCGTTATAATTGTGATTTCAATATAGATCAAAATAACAATGACTATCATTTTGGCCATAATGGTGCTTTTGCTGCCATGCTCACCTTTTTAATGTCCTTCTCTTGCCTTTATCTTGCCTTTGAAACCTATT